CCCCCCCCCCCCGACACAATCCCTACACATTGTTCATTGTGAGGACTAGAATTGAGAACCGCTGGATTAAATATAGGTAAAAGATGAAGGTAGGTAGTTGATAAACAATAAACAGAGAGAAAACATACATACCTGTACAAGTAAAGGCTTGATTGTCTTGTGTGTATTTAACAGTTGCATCTGTTGAAGAGCAAGAAACTGCAATCTGATCTTAATCTGTCGTGATGGTGAGAAAACTTCAGCTTCATCTTGGAATCTCTCAGTATCTCAGTTCAGACTGAACATGCTGACTTACTGTAAAAGTCACATTTTGGGAGTGACTCCATTTGCCATCTCACAGTTGTTAAAGTCAACATGAACCAGCATCGTAACCCTTTCGACTTCTGAGTAAAACAGGATATTCAACGAGAAAACTTGTAGGGAAGAACTAGATTTTATCCTTTAGGAATTAATTGGACTGTAAAAAAATGTCTGTTATGCACATTGTTTTATAAAACCACGCTGTTGTAGCACATGCAGAATGGACTTCCCATGAAAGACATCATCTTGATGGCAGTATATATCTCTGTACAATCCCAATATATGCCTCCGTGTCAATGATACAGTCGCACATATGCCAGTCACCCATGCTGATTGTTCTGCTGCACCCCCATACCATGACAGATGTTTGCTTTTGCTTCTGTCGCTAATGAAAGTCTGGATGGTCCCTTTGGTCTTTGGGACTGAGAACTCGAAATCAATTTTTCCCAGAAACAAGTTGAAATGTGGACTGATCGGAGTACAGCACACATTGTTTTTTTGACTATCTGAGATGAGCTCTGGCTCAGAAAACCCGGCAGCATCGCTGCATAGAATTGATGTATAGCTTTCTCCTAGAGTAACATATATTCAAGTTGCATTTCTTGATGCAGCAGCAGACTGTGGTAAATGACAGTGGTTTTCTGAAGTACTCCTGAGCCCAGGTGGCTATATTTAACACCGCAGCATGACTGTTTATTATGCAATGCCATCTGAGGGCTCAAAGGTCAAGCAAATTCAACTGAGGTTTCCTGCCTTGCCCTACATGTACTGTGATTTATCTGGATTCTTCTTTGCAATTTTGCATTGCGAAATGTGATTTTTTATTTATTTGACACTTCTCTTGGGAAATTTGACACAAAGTGATGAGCCATGATCCAGCTTTGCTTGCAAAGACTGAGATCAGAGGCGGACAGTAGTGAAATATTTTTACTTCACAACATTCCAAAGAAAACTTTGCTTCACAACATTCCAAAGCATAATATTGTACTTTTTACTGCACTACGTTTCATATTAAATATAATTGAATACTTAATTACGTTAGAAATCTATTACTTTCTTACTTTTACTCAAGTACAAGTAATTCAAAGATTTACTTGAGTACAAGAAAATACTACATTTTTAATGTTCTTAAGGTAAAACAAACAACAACATTTATTTATTAAATGAAGTGCAGTAAAAAGTATGACATTATGCTTTGGAATGTAGTGAAGTAAAGTTTTCCAAAGAAAAACACTCTGATAAACTACAGATACTTTTTTAATTTACTTGAGTAAAGTAAAAATACTTCACTACTGTCCGCCTCTGACTGAGATGCTCCTTTTATACCCAAACATGATACCTTGACCTATTACCAGTTCACCTGCTTACTGTGAACTGTTTTAAAACAGTTTAACGTGGATATTCTATAACCTTTTATATTGCCTATATACACTTTTATTTTGCCTCTTTTCCAACTTTTTTGGAATGTGTTGTAGCCGTCAAAAACAAAATTTGTTCATATTTACAAAATATATTTACATTGGTCAGTGAAAACTTTAGAGATCTTTTCTTTGTACTTTAGTCAATTAAATATTTATTTAAAATAAATACAATTAAATTTAATAAAAGAAAATGTATGTATTTATTAAATATTTTTTTTACATTAAATGTTCCCTCCTGGTGGAATAACCTGCCCAACTCAATCCGAGCAGCTCAGTCGTTAGCCAGCTTCAAGAATCGGCTAAAAACACATCTCTTCCATCTTTATTTGACCCTCTAACTCTAGCTCTCTCTA